AACGTGTCGTCTTTGAGAATCTCACAGACGACGTGCGTGTCGTCTGACAGTGGTACCCTCGGCGACGCTTCTCGGTCCACCTTCAGAGGTGTTCATCGCATCGGTCGTGAGGCCTTTGGACGATCGCTGAGCGACGCGTCGCTCCCGCTCAGCGTGATCGCTCCGCTTCTCTGAGCACTTTTCGGAGGCTCACGATCGACGGCGAAACGGTCGACCTCCCCCCTCCTCCCTCTCATCCCTTCCTCCTCCTATTCCTCCTCCTCCTCCTCATCCTTTGCCCCCCCCTCCCCCTCCTCCTCCTCCTGCTTCCTCCTCATCCGCCTCCGCCTCCTCCAGTTCCATCCTCCTCCTCGTCCCCCTCAGCATCCTGAGGTGTCCTGAGGTGTCCTGAGGTGTCCCGAGGTGTCCTGAGGTCTCCTGGGGTTGTCAGCTCAGAGATGCCCTGAGGTGTCCTGAGGCGCCCTGGTGTTGTCATCTCAGAGGTGTCCTGAGGTGTCCTGAGGTATCCTGAGGTGTCCTGAGGCGTTGCATTCGCCGTCGTCGTCGTCGGCGTCCGCCGTCGTCGTCGCCGTCGTCGTCGTCGCCGTCGTCGTCGCCGCCGTCCCGCATCGTCGTCGTCGCCGCCGCAGTCGTCGTCGTCGTCCGCCGCCTTCGTCGCCGCCGACGTCGTCGCCGTCGCCGTTGTCGCCGTCGTCGTCGTCGCCGTCGTCGTCGTCGTCGTCCTGCATCGTGGTCGTCGCCGCCGCAGTCGTCGTCGTCCGCCGCCTTCGTCGCCGCCGACGTCGTCGCCGTCGCCGCCGTCGCCGCCGCCGCCGTCGCCGCCGTCGTCGTCGCCGTCGCCGCCGCCGCCGCCGCCGTCGCCGTCGCCGCCGTCGCCGTCGCCGCCGTTGCCCTTATCATCCGCATCGGCTGCGCCGTCTCACCGCCGCCCATCATCCCCGCAATCGCGACCCTCATGGTTCTCGCGAAGGTTCGCGACGCGGCCCTGGCCCTCGCGAATGTTCGCGATCGTGGCGACCTGGCTCGCGATAGTGGCGGCCTGGCTCTCGATCGTGGCCTTCTGAGCTTCGATCGTGGCGTCGTTGCTCTGAATCTGCTCATGCCATTTGATGTAGTCATCGCGCTGCTTCAGGGCACGATCAACCACGGAGACGATCACGCGGCGATGATCATCAGCCGACTCGAGCTGCTGGTTCATATCAGCAACCATGCGGTCCGCCGTATCCTCGACGGGGCCGCTCCGCCACGATCCACCACCAGCATAAGCCGATGACGAGCCGTCACCAATTGGCGCCAATTCGGGCGGGGAGGTCGACGGTGGGTGGGCTGGGCTGATAACCGTTCTGCACCAACATATACGGAGGATGGCGGGGAGGATGAGGACGAGGATACCAATGATGACGAGGACGGGGGCGGTGGAGATCACGCTGCTCAGACAGCGATCGCACATCGTCGACGGATGCGATCATCGTCGCAGCGTTCTGGCACAGATCGCGCCCGTCTCTCTTCTCTATAGCCACAATGCCGCGCATGCATGAAGATATCAAAGCACTCCGAGCCCTGCATCGCCATGAGGATATACTGTTTAGGAACCAGCAGCTTGACACCGCCATCAAGCACAAGGCCAACAGCCTCAAGAAGGCGAAGCATATGGACCGCAAGGCGACCTTGTCGCCGCGCCGCGCGCTGTCGGGACATGCTTGCATATGCATGCAGATATGATATTGTTGTTTGGTGCGGTGTATGTACACTAGAAGAGCGGCGTGATATGATAGTTCTGGGCTAGGTTGTGGGGTGTGTCTGATGTTGTCGGCGTGATCCCGCCTGGTTGTGCGTCTCACGGCGGGCGTGGTGACGCCTATCGCCACACCTATTTCCCCCCCCCCCCCCCCTCCCCCACCATCCGACATGCCCCGCCCGTTCGGTGCGAGGTGATGCAGTGCTTCAAGGCGTACGAGAAGGCCAAGAAAAAGGCCGAGGACGCCGAGTACGCTTGGCTGCAAGCGTGTGAGCACGCCGTGGACTTGCATGGGCAGCACGATCGGGCAAGGAAGCTGGTAATCGACACAGGGGGCTTGTACAGAGCACGGGGGCGCAAGGCCTTAGGCCTCGGCGCGTGAGTGCGTGGATACGCAATTAGGTCCGAGTGTGCAAACACCGTTTCCCAAGAGTTGTGCCTGTCGCGGGGAGGGCGGGCGCTTCGCGCCATGCGCTAAGAAAACAATGCCTGGATCGAGCTCGTCGGGGCAGCGTTGCAACCATTGCAAATCTGGGGTCAATGGTTAGGGGGGAGTGGGGGATGTGTGGCTTATCGGCTCAGTTGCAATAGGTTTTGCACAAGTTATCGTTTCAGTTGTGGAGGGGCAATGGGCAAGTCCCGCAAGACGATCGCGATGGATGCCCAGGCTCGCCAGGACTGGAAGGAGGACAAACATGTCAGGCTGACCAACGCTAACATCACCAAGGTAGCATGCAAGGCCGAGTTCTTGTGTGCATCGAAGAAGGTGGCCTCGTGTGTGAAAACACGTTAAACACTCATTGCAATGACATTAGCCGCCGCACTAGAAATTGCAATTGCATTTGAATTTGGTGGCATTGAATGCCTGTGCCCTGTATATGTGTGTTTTGTTTTAGCGCACGATTCCCAGGTTCTCGAGAAGTTCAAGAAGTTCGAGGCCGCCAAGAAGAAGATGGAGGAGGCCAAGAGCGAGTGGATGGAGTCGATCGGTGATCGCATCGATGCCCACGCTGAGTGGGAGAACGCGTGCGAGCAGCACGCGAGCATCAAATCAGAGCGCATGCCGCGCTGATGGGGCCGTGTCGGGCGAGGCATCGCAAGTGCGATGATGTGTTCAGATTCGCAATGGTCCACGTCAAATGACCAGTGGTCACGCCAATCATGCCTTACATCTGATTAGCATGCCGAGCAAGGGGGTGGACCCATCCAAGTCAGCGTTTGTCAAGCTGCGCCCAGCCGTGGCGACGACGATGGCTGACCCCCCCCCCCGCCCCCCGAGAGGACTACCACCCCCCCGAGAGGACTACCAACCCTCGCGCTGTTGGTTTGTTCGACACCCCTGTTGACCTTTGCCTCATCGCCAAGCGTGCACGCGTCATCGTCGTGGGCTCCGTAACCAGTTTGGCTCAAACAGTTTTGCGAACTTACATATCGCTTTCTGCTGCGTAGCAGCAATGACGTCGATACGTGATGTGCTGGCCGAACTCAATCATATGATTGATTGGCATCATACCCAAGTCGGCTGCGGACTCGACGCAAAGACATGCGCCGACAACCAGATGCAGTCGCTGTTGTCGAGAGTGCGATCCTTCGGAACGATCAGCACTGACGACGCCACGCTCTTGGTGGGCACAATTCGGGACAATGCGCTCCCAGACTGGTCCCCTGATCAGATTGCAGAAATCTGCACGGCGGCAGGGCAGAAGACGGGTGTGCTGACCAGCACCGCAGATAAGAAGTGGCAGAAGGTAACTGCATTCTCGCGCTTCCTTTCGGCGTCTGAGGCGACCAAGTTAAAGAGCGGCGACATGTCGCAGAAGGCGATGATCGCCATGGCGTGCAAGAGGGCCCATGCGATCGGTATGTACACTCTGTCCGAGGGGAGCAAGGGTCAACTCGCAGCGGTGGTATCGTCCCAACTCACTGGCGTTACCAACGACATGTGGCACGACATCCTGGTGCAGGTCAAGCTGAAGCTGGCTACCATGAAGGCACGAGACTGGAAACACAGAACTATATGGGAATACGATTCTCCAGACTCCCTCGAGAGCGAATCGTGGTACTATACCGCGTACCCCGAGGGAGACCCGCCACACGGGCAGGACTGGTACATCGACGAGCCCGACTTCGTGCGACTGAGCAGTCGCTTGATGAAGGGCGGCAAGCAAGCGGCCAAGCAAGTGCGGGACGACCGCCCCGCCCCGCCGCCGCCGACCGCCCCGCCTCCCGCCATTTGCGACTTCGGCGCCTACCAATCCATGTACGGGACGATGAACGCGTACCATATGTACGCTCATCCAGGAATGGTGCCTCCGCCAGGGATGGTGCCTGGCCAATCGTCACACTCTTGGTCGCCTCCGCCAGGGATGATGCCGAAGCCCAAAGCGCCACCGCAAGATGCGCCCTCACCACAGGAGGCGCCCCCGCCTGCGGCCCCACCAGCCGCGGGAGGAATGCCCGCCCCGCTCGGCGACTTATCTGATGAGGAGGCAGCGCTTCGCAAGACAATGCGCAAGCGTAAGGAGGCCGTGGCCCTGAGTAAACGTCCAGCAGCTGCTGGGGGCGATGCCGATGGCGTCGAGGGCGCCGACGACGATGGCGACGAACTCGCCGACGAGGAGGGGGGCCCGCCGAAGAAGGTCATGAAGGGCGCCCCGCCGAAGAAGGCCATGAAGGTGGTCATGCGGAGGCCCTCGGCGAAGCCGAGGCCCACGGCGAAGCCGAAGCCGCTGCCCAAGGCCCCGCTGACGGGGGCCCCGAAGATCGAGTACCGCGCGGGGTATATACTCACGCAGCCAGACAAGTCCCAATACAGGGCTGTCCTGGGGCGGTCCGACAGGCGCATCCGCTGGGACACGGGCAGCACGCGCCAGGAGGCTTTCACCAAAGCGATGAAGTTCATAGACGAGCGCTCGTAGCCGCTTGTCTGCTCTGCTCATCGCCGATCGCGACTTCTCGCGATTTGTTTCGCTGTGCTATAACGCTTGTGTGCATTGTTCATGTATGCCTGCATGGTGCAATGTAAAATGCAAGTCGTTGTTCCACCGTATGCGAGGGGCACCCGTCGCACAATCCTCTGTTGCGATTGCAGATATCGCATTCATGCTACCATCACTCAGTGGCAGTTTTGGCTCAAGCCATGTCGGCGGGGCCACCGAAGCGTCGCAAGACAGACGCCGAAGCACTGATTGAGTTACACAGAGGCCCATATGTATCTGAGCGGAGTCTTACATACATTCTCAAGTACGTACGAGATAATGGTATACCAGGTAACATTTCGCGTTATGCGCAGTACAGCGCAAGGCAGACATTAATCGGTGCCGAATCGAACCAGTACGGTGACGTGCTAGTCGGCATTGATATGCCATTGAACAGCGGTAAGAGCTTCAAGAACTGGGCGTGCGCCCCTGGCCCGTACTTGTACTCGACGGCGAAACGGAATAAGGGGTTCAGAGATCTGTTGCGCCGCCAGCTCGCCAAGCACCCGTGCTCCCTAGCATCCCCATGGCGCATCTGCTTATATTTCGACGGTATCTCACCGCGTGACCCGTTGGCCAAGGGCAAAGACCACCGAGGGGTGGATGCTGTATACTGGTCGTTTCTAGAGTTCGATGAGTTTTTGCAGGACGAAGACGCATGGCTCGTGCTCAGCACCGCTCGGGTTTCCAAAGTGAGGGACATGCCTGGAGGGATCGGGCAGTCGGTTGCAATGACGTGCAACGAGCTCATGTTCAATACGTCTGGCGGGGTGAACTTTCGTACGACTGGAGTTATCTTGGACGTGTCAGAAGCAGGGGATGCCACAAGGCACGCGACTATAATCGCGAGGTTGGGCTGCACTGTGGGCGACGAAGAAGCCCTCCGTGAATTCCACATGAACAAAAAGCACGCGGGCACCAAACCGTGTGCCATCTGCAGGAACGTGATCAACCAGAAGTTCGACTATGCGTCGCACGACACGTCTGGTACATTTATATCGGACGCATGCCTCGACAGTAGCAAACGCGTCGTCAACACAGACGCGCAGATCGTTGCTATCTTGGAAAGGCTACGCCCCGACTGGGAGAGGCACGACCGCGGTGAGATTAGCGACAACAAGTGGAAGGAGATCACGCAGCTAAAGGGTTGGAACTTTCATCCGACGCACGTTGCCTTGGACGCCAACCTCGCCTACGGTGTCATGTCGCTCCTCTGCTTCGATTGGATGCACATCTATAGCGTCAATGGCATCGTAGCTAAAGAAGTGAAAGCTTTCACTGAGAACAAGGCGGTTTGCAAACTCTGCAGCGCCGAAGATCTCAACGACTATCTTTCAAACTGGACATGGCCCCACAAGTTTCATGCCGCCAATGCCGTGTTCGCACAGGGCGAACTACAAGCAAACGCATCGCAAGAGCTGTCTATGATTCCCGTGCTGGCGCACTTCATCAGGCAAGTCATTGCCAAGCTGCCTGATGCAGGCACCATCTCGGGTCATATTGCAAGTTTACTTGCACTGTGCGATGCCATTGATATGGTTATTCTCTCGTCCAGGGGCCTCGCGACTGCACGTGAGCTGGATGTCGCCGTGATGAAGCATTTGGAGCTACACACGCGCACATACGGGACTAAATATTGGGTTTACAAACACCATATGGCAACTCATCTTGCCGACATGTACTTCAAATTCGGACCCTTGAACTGCTTCGTCCACGAGCGGAAGCACAAAGTTTGCAAGAAGTTTGCAAAGGACCATCTGTGCATGAGGACCCCCGAGAAGTCATTGATGATGCAGCTCACGGCGCAGCACAGTTACGACATGGAGCACTTCAGCATCTCAACGACGCTGGTCGACCCCGTAGCCGCCACCAAGAAGCTCATGGGCGTCTTGAAGGAGTTGCGCCCGCAAACGCAATCGGCATCATCGAGCCTCACGGCGTGGACCAAGTACGGGCCGATCCATAGAGGAGACATATGCTTGCTGGGACGTGCTGCAGGACATGCAGCCGTGCAGGTCTGGTTCCATGTAGATTGTGACACAGAGACTGCGCCCTCAGGGCCTCTATGCTTAGTCTTGGAATTGCAGACTCGGCGCGTGCACAGCGCAGATTACTATTCTAGGTACTCCATAGACGAAGATAATAATCCCGTGCTCATTCCTTTGGACTCGCTGAGGCACCCTGTGATTAACAGGCATCTCGGCGATGCAATCACTTGCATTTGGCCAGTTGAGTATCGCAAATTGGAATGCTGACGCGTTTGCGATGTAGAAGTATACATCTTCACATCAATGAATACATCTTCAAAACATCCCGCAAGAAACACAACATCGAAATTGAAACAACATTGAACGCCCCAAAATCAAGTATATGTTAGCCGAAAAACTATCATGTTATCCGAAATAAATCAACATGCTAACTTTTATAAATGAGTTATAACTAAGTTATAACTCCGCCTAACAGTTATGCCTTCAGGTGGGGGGGAGGAGCGAGGCTGAAAGCTGAAAAAAGGTCAAGAGTCGGGACGGGGGTTGTAGGAAGCAGAACACGAGAACCCAACACAGGAGGCCCCCAGGGAAGCGAAGTAGAGCTTCTGATCCGCGTAGCATCGGCAGTTGCGCAGCCAGGAGTGGTGGCGACAGTTGGGCAGGAGGCAGGAGGCAGGAGGAGGGAGGCGAGAAGGAGAAAGGGGAGCGGATACGGCAGTGCTCTACATGTTCGAGGCGAGCACCCGACACAGGAGGACGAGGGACAAAAACGCGACTAGGATGTTCGACGCCATCTTTCCGCTGCGTCTGGGTGAGGAGGAGGAGGAGGAGGGGGAGGAGGAGGAGGAGGAGGAGAAGGAGGAGGAGGAGGAGGAGGAGGAGGAGGAGGGAGGAGGAGGAGGAGGAGGAGGAGGAGGAGGAGAGGAGGAGGAGGAGGAGGGAGGAGGAGGGAGAGGGGGAGGAGGAGGAGGAGGAAGGAGGAGGGAACGCTCGCCGTGTTCTTTAGACAGCGCTGGGTTCGGACGGGGTCCGCCGCGGCTCCCCCCCGGCCCTTGCGACCCACCGTCGCTGCCGCCGTCCTCAAAGCCAACAAAAAAACACGCCGCTCCTGCTTGCGCCTGCAGCCCCTCCAACTCATTCACCCTCCTCCTTCCTCCTCCCCTCCTCCGCCTCCTCCTCCTCCTCCTCCCTCCTCCTCCTCACCTCCCTCCTCAATCCTCTTCCTCCTCCTCCTCCGTCTTTTTTGTTCTCCTCCGGGAGGGAGTTTGCCCCTACCCCCTACCCCCCTGCCCCCTCCCCAGGTTGGCTGTGAGACGGAGCCCAGTTGGTTCCAGAGAGGCTCCAGGGCAGCACCGAATGTGCCAAGATGGGTGAAGATGGCGGTAGTAAAAGAGGGTTAGACATCAGCTCACCAAATTCGTTTTTCTGGCGCCTCCTGGCGCCAGATGCGCTGATGTATCGAGTGAAACGCCAAGCGGCGGTGCCGAAACCAGCTGCATGCATGCATGCATGCATGCATGCAGCGGATTTCGTGTCCCCACCTTACCCCATCCTCTGGGCGGAACGAAGAGAAGGACGAGGATAAGGAACGACAGGAGGATAATAGGAGAGGAAGAGGAGAGGGGGAAGCAGGGGGAGGGAGAGGAGAGGGAGGGGGAGAATGAGGAGCGAGCAGTGGGGATAGAAAGAGGATAATATCGGTTCGACAGGAGGGCCAGCCTACGACGTGGGGGGACAGGGACTGGGCCGAGAGGCCAACGTAGTGGAATGTCTCAGCAGAATCCCACTCGCTCTCATGCCCGCGCGCTTGCAAAGAGGAGATCGCTGTGCTTGCTCCACGGTCGTGTCGCCACCACGAGGGCCAGAGGGCCTGCGCAGGGACAGACAGGCAAATGCCCCACCACCACCACCACCACATCCTCCTCCTGCTTGTCCAACTCCCGTGCTCATCCGTGTTCTCATCATCATCTTCCTCCTCCGCCTCATGATCATCATCATCATCATCATCATCATCATCATCATCAGCAGCAGCAGCAGCAGCAGCAGCTTCATCGTCATCATCATCAGCATCACCCGAATCACCACCACCACCATCACCACATCAGCGTCATCGTCAATACCACCAGCATCAACATCCGCATCATCATCACCATCAGCATCCTCATCTTCATCCTCATCATCATCCTCATCACCATCCTCATCACCATCCTCGTCATCCTCATCATCATCATTACAAGCATCATCGAATCCTCGTATTCAGAAGTAGCGTCTCCTCGTCGTCGCGTCACGAAACGTGTTGGTAGGGTAAGTCAGGCGGTGTGTCCTCGACTTCCATTCCAGCTTACACAACGAAGCTTAGAACCTCCCACAGGTATATGGATGGAGGGCGCGTCGTCATGACAAACGCTCAACCGCCAAATGTATGGAGGGCGGGTGGTTTTCGAAGCGTAGCTCTCGCAGGAACGACGCGCACAATCTTTTTCTCAAAGAACTCCCGAGTCCAACACACCGTCAGCCAACGCGGACCCCAAACACGAGGCTCTTGCACTCTACGCGGTGCAACACACGTGGTGGCCAGCGCCACCTATGGAGTGCGGTCTGCGCGGTGCAGTCGATGCGGCACAAGTGCCTGCCGTGCACCGCGCTTGCCCACCCCTCCCACGCTCGTGGAAGCATCCCACCCGCCCACCCGCAGCTTGGCTTGCAGAACCCATTCGGCGGCGATTGCGATGAGTGCTCCTCCTCCTCCTCATCCTCCTCCTCCTCCTCCTCCTCCTCCTCCTCCTCCTCCTCCTCCTCCTCCTCCTCCTCCTCCTCCTCCTCCTCCTCGTCACCTCCTCTACCCGCAGGGCCAGTGCGAGGAGGAGGTTTGCAAAACCCATTCGGGGGCGAAGGCTGTCGCAACTCTGCGGCCGCGCTAGCCCGCGCATGCTCGCGCGCACAGCGGCCAGCTAATTTGGCGCGCCTGACGCGGCCGCGGTGGCGCTGACCGCTTCGCTTGGCACTCCCAAGCGGGCACTTCAGCGCGAGCCGGTGAGTTGGGCGGGCGCGGTACCATGGCAACGTCGACGACGGTAGACACGATGATGATATTAGCGATGGTGACGATGTTGACAGCGACGACGGCCAGGCCAATGACAACGCCGATGCTGATCACGCCGGCGACGATGACGGCGTCCTCGCGTCAGTGATGAAGGTTTTGCAACGAGTTCGACATGCGCGCGCGGCCGATGCGCGAAAGTAGCCGCATCGTATGCTTTGACACTGATCGTGCCCCTCCCCAGCACGCGCGCAAGGGCGTTCGAATGATTTCGGCATGCGGCGCCAGAGGCCCGTTTGGCAGAAAATGTTGAAATCACGCTACCGAAGAACCCCACATACTTCTAATGTGTCTGGCGTGAGGATAGCTGGCGTGAAATGTGCAAGAATGATGTAGGTGGCCGTTGCTTCGCCAATGCCGTTAGTGGCGCCGGTCAAGCCTAGGGAGCCTGAGTACCCTGAGGGGGTCCAGGAAGGGCAAAAGCCTGGGCGTTACTGGCTAACCGCCAGTTTGACCCTACCAGCTGGCTGGGCCTTCCATTTCGCGCAAAGAGTCGATGCCGCGCTCACAGACCACCCCCCGTGGTGTCGAGGAAGTGCCACGCCTGCCAAGCTTTGCGAGCCCGAGACGGATAGGGGGACCACCCCCAGCGCAAGCCCTGTGGTGTCGAGGAACTGCCACGCCTGCCACGCTTTGCGAGCCCGATGCCCTGGACGAAAGGCGAGCATAGCGGCCGAGCTCAGGAACCACCCCCTGTGCACCCTCCCTGGTGTCGAGAAAGTACCACGCCTGCCACGCCCTAGACGAGAAGCGCGCATAGCGACCGCGCTCAGGAACCACCCCCTGCGCGCTCTCCCTGGTGTCGAGAAACTGCCACGGTGACTATACCCTGGACGAGAAGCGCGCATAGCGGCTGAACTCGGGAACCACCCCCTACGCACCCTCCCTGGTGTCAGGAAAGTGCCATGCCTGCGATGCCCTGGACGAGAGGCGCGCATAGCGGCCGAGCTCAGGAACCACCCCCTGCGCACCCCCGTTGTTGTCGACAAAATGCCACGCCTGCGATGCCCCGGACGAGAGGCGCGCATAGCGGCAGAGCCCAAGAACCAGCCCCGCGCGCACCCCCTCTGTGCCGCGCCTGCTGTGCCGCGCCTGCTGTGCCCGTGGCGAGAGGCGCGCATAGCGGCCGAGCTCAGGAACCACCCCCTGCGCACCCTCTCTGGTGTCGAGGAAGTGCCACGCCTGCCATGCCCTGGACGAGAGGCACGCATAGCGGCCGAGCTCAGGAACCACCCCCTGCGCACTCCCCCTGGTGTCGAGAAACTGCCACGGTTACTAGACCCCCCTGGACTAGAGGCGCGCATAGCGGCCGAGCTCAAGAACCTCCCGCTGCGCACCCCCTCTGGTGTCGAGAAGTCCCACGCCTGCCATGCCCTGGACGCGAGGCACGCATAGCGGCCGAGCTCAGGAACCACCCCCTGCGCACCCCCTCTGTTGTCGACAGAATGCTATGCTTAGTAGCGCAAGGCACGGCGAGCGCACCCTGGGTCCTATGTGCAACGTTTGCCACGCTTTCCGACCCAGTCTGTATGTTGGTGCCAGGCTGGATGTGGACGTGTGTCTCATGTGGGTGCCCAGTATGTTGCGCATACATCTTGGGTGTATGATGCAGCGAACACGCCAGGCGTGCACTAGCGTTGTATGGTGTATGTTGTGTGTGCGAGTGTGTGCGTGTGTGTGTGTGTGTGTGTGCGTGTGTGCATGCGTGCGGCGGTATGTAGACGCGTGAATCATGTACGTGCCGTGCATGCGTTGCGCGTGGGTGGGGGGAGAACGAAGAGGAGGAGAGGGAGGAGGGAGGAGGGAGGTGTGAGGACGACGCGGGCGCGACGCGGGTGGAAAGAGAACCAGAACCCCATGAAACATGTAGGGAAAAACATAGGGTTGTCTGAATGAATCGCGAGAGCGCGAGAGCACGCGTTGTTGAAAACTATGGTGCGAAACCATGTGCGTCGCATATGTGTTTGGATACTCGGTTTTTTAAGCGTTACGAAACCTGAGGTTTTTGAACATTTGGGCATGCGCGCGCGACAACGAGCGCGCGCGTGCACTTCATCCTCTTTGTTGCAAAGGGTTCTCGCGACGGCAAGCGCGCAAGGGTGTTGGAAAGATTTCGGCACGCTCGCGCGCGCGAAGCCCGTCTGGTAGAATTTCCTGAAATGTGGAAAGCCGAGGGTGCGCTAACTTTTTCCCCAACCCTCCTGTGTTGGGTACTCGTTTTGAATAGAGCACTGTGTTGCCCCAACTCCCTCTCCTCCTCCCCCGCCTCCTCATCCTCCTTCTCCTCCCCCTCCTCCTTCCTCCTCCTGCTCCTCCTCCTCCTTCCTCCCTCCATTCTCCTCCTCGTGTTCTTCCTCCTCATCCCTGCCTCGTGACCTCGCCGTCCCCCTGGGGGCTGCGATCTACAAAACTGTCGCCACGCTCGTGGCCTTCTGGGAGGGCCAGCGGAGGTACGTCCCACGCAGATCACCACGAGGCCTCGTCGCCCCCTGGGGGGCTGCGATCTGCGAAACTGTCGCCACTTCCGTGGGCTTCTGGGGGGGACAGCGGAAGTACGTCCCACGCAGATCACCACGAGACCTCGCCGTCCCCTGGGGAGCTGCGATGCGCGAAACTGTCGCCACTTCCGTGGCTTCTGGGAGGGCTAGCGGACGTACGTCCAGCGCAGATCACCACGAGACCTCGCCGTCCCCTGGGGGGCTGTGATCTGCAAAGCTGTCGCCACGTTCGTGGACTTTTGGGAGGGCCAGCGGAGGTACGTCCCACGCAGATCACCACGAGACCTCGCCGCCCCCTGGGGGGCTGCGATCTGCGAAACTGTCGCCACTGTCGTTGGCTTCTGGGAGGGCCAGCGGAGGTACGTCCCACGCAGATCACCACGAGACCTCGCCGCCCCGTGGGGGGCTGCGATCTGCGAAGCTGTCGCCACTTTCGTGGGTTCCTGGGAAGGCCAGCGGAGGTACGTCCCACGCAGATCACCACGAGACCTCGCCGTTCCCTGGGGGGCTGCGATCTGCGAAGCTGTCGCCACGTTCGTGGACTTTGGGGAGGGCCAGCGGAGGTACGTCCCACGCAGATCACTAGAGACCTCGCCGTCCCCTGGGGGCTGCGATCTGCGAAACTGTCGCCACATCCGTGGGCTTCTGGGGGGGCCAGCGGGGGTACGTCCCACGCAGATCACCACGAGACCTCGCCGTCCCCTGGGGGGGGCTGCGATGTGCGAAACTGTAGCCACTTC